TGGCACGGGGACATTTACCATCGCCCCGTGGACCTCCCAGACACCACGGGAATAAGCTGGAGAGAAGGGATCCTCCAGTGTCTCTTTTTTTTTGTTGTTGTCCTTTTTCTCTATCAAACCTTTTAGTAGTCATCATAAAGTATATATCATTTGAAAGCTTAGAAGCCCAAGATTCATCCTGTGAAAGCCATTTTGAAATCAGACATTGCGTTACCATAGAAATGGTACTTTAAAATCTTTTGGCGGTCTCCTCCCCCTTAGTGGGCAGTGCCAAGTGTCATATTACAAAATGCATTACGGTCTTTTAGAATCAAACCTTTTTATAATCTTGACAAAAAACATATCATTGGAAGGGTCAGAGTCTCAGGATTCCATAGTTGGTGGTTTTTTTAATATAATATTACTTATATTTTGAGATATAAGTAATATTGACAGAGAAATCTAGACATTTGTGACAGAAAAATTAATTTAAAAAATTCAATGGAGTTTGGATGGCACCCGGAGGCTGTTTGTGGTATGATGTCCTAAATAAAATATCACAGGAACCTCCGTTTTTTTTCATATCAACTTAAAATGTAGAGATAAGGCTTTAATTTTATACCAATTTTAGAGTAAAACCTGTTATGTAAATTTTTATAATAAATAAAATAAAATTAATATAGTGCATTTTATTTACAGTACATTTAAACTTCTATAACTTTTTGATACTTTAATTTTTTGAAAAACAAAATCCACTTTTGCAATAATCTGCTGATTTTCTTCTTTGACCAACCTTAGACCTGTATTCCAAAGTGTTAATAAATTACAACAATTTAAGTTTGGATAGTGCACTTTCATGCTTTCAGGTTAAACTGGGCTGCATTTCCCAAAAGCATTGTAAGCCTATGAAAATCATAGAAATTATCATCCTTCGAATTTATTGTATCTTTACTTAAGTTAGGTTATAGTATCCTATGCTGAATTCAGAATTGCATACTAAGATACTACTATTTCTGCTATAACTTTATATTGAATAATAGTAATAGTTGAAATAATAATAGTGAAATAATAATAAGAGTAGAATGCCAGTGCTATTCTGAGCTCAGCTGACACATGCAGTCACTGAATAAATTCAGAATTGCCCACTAATATCAGCACCCTTGGTGTTTTGTAAAAACAACAAGATACTCGCGACATGCTGTATTGTGAAAAGAGGGTGCTTCTTATGATTTTGCCTGGTTTGTGTGGTGGTTAACACTGCCACCAGCACACCAGCAATGGCTTTTATGTCCCACAGAAGAAATAAATTCATACAAGTTTACAATAACTTGAGTAAATGATAACAGAATTTTCATTTCAGCTATTCCTTGGAATCTGCTTTGGAGCAGATTTATTATTTACTGTTTTTTTTTT